AAAAAATAACACTTGTGATAAAATCTAAAATGACATTTTAGTGGAACAAGCTGATCCACAAGAGCATTATGAATGTGGCAAGCCCATAAGACAGCAAGAAAACAGAGGACATCTGTCCTACTCAGTACTCCTGGCATTCCTCAGAGTAGCAACACATGGGCGCTCAGTAATTATTTGTTCAAAGAATAAACCAATCAATTACTAGATCAATAAATGAATTGGTGAATAAAAAGGGAAACGGAAGAACCAAAATTTTTTGTGCTTTTCTCTAAATGAAAACAAATTTCTTCATTCTGTGTTCTATAAAATAATGTGTGTGTACTGAAGATAAGCAGATGTTGATAACAAGCAGGATACAATCACAGCACAGCATTATTGCCCCTAATTTATAACTGAATTTATAAATGAAAAGTTGCTGTAACATTATTATTAAAATTTTTGAAAATGAAGGTAAAATGAGACAATCTCCATGAATGCCATCAGGCACAGATATTTTACTTACTGTCATAATCCAAGCTACTGGCACAATGCATTCAACAAATATTTGTGGAATGAATACATCTTAACCTAAAAATATACCACTTTCATTTTTAAGTAACGTCTTCTAGTATTTGTCATAAATATATACTTTCAGAGTTATAATTCATATTTGTCATAAATACATATTTTCAGAGTTATAATTCTATTTAATATTCTAAATGATATACTTTTTGGCTTAACATTATAAAATAAACATTTTTCATGTCTCTGCCTAAAATTCCATCATGCTATTTATTATAATTTACTAAACTTGTCCTGTATTGTTGAACATTTAGTTTTCCCAGTATTTTTGCTACTACATCTAATGCTACAATGAACACCATTGCACATACAGCACTTTACTTTTTCCTAAACTTTCCTGAGAAGTGAAATTATAGAAACAAATTGAATAAAAATCTCGAAGGCTACCTGCTCTATATTATCATATTGTTTTCCAAATTGTTGTTCCATTTACAACATTATCTATAATATACAAGGGTACTTCCAAAAGTTCTTGGAAAAATGAAATTACAACATAATACGAATCTTTCCATGAACTTTTTGAAGACCCCTCATATAACAGTTTATTGCATTTTCCCTTAGAATTTTTTTTTCTAAATTCACAAATTAAAATTGTAAATCCAAAGTCTCTTTATTTTACATTTTGTTGTTAGTGAGGAAGTACATCTCTAATATGCTTGTATACTGTCATTTTCTCAAATACAAATTGTTATTTGTCATTTCTATTTCCATAAAAATTTTTCAAAAATTATAATAAGCTTTTTAGCCATGACAAACACTAATATTTTAAAATCATGCTTGATGTTCACATTTCCCCCTTCTATTGTCCCTTTACTTTTAGTTTTGTTTGTTCACTAGAGATTATATGTATACATCAACAAGTCTTTTTCCTTTGTGATTGCTTCATAAATCCAACCAAATCTATGAAATATCCTACTGTTTGTTAGTTTAAATTTGGTTAGTTCTTCGCTGATCAAATGTCTAAAAGAAAGACCCTAAACAAATTTTCTCAACGGGGTCGTTTAATAAATTATAAAGATCTATTTCAAAAAGCATCAAAAATTTTGTTCAACATTCCTTGTTTCTAGTGTATTAAGAAAGCCCTAAGAATAAAAATGTAAAATTTATAAATGGGGACTCCAGTTCTGAACAGTATTTTCTATCACTTCCTTGTTACTGAGATATATGTGAGTCATGTTTGTTGTCTCTTTTCTCTTAAGTCCCTGATTTCTTTCATTGATCCAGGAAACACACCTCCTTCTTTGTCAGTTTGCTATAGAGAGTTCCAGTCTTCGAGTCCTGCTCATGCTCCTCAGCTCTATTTTCCTACATTAGAAGGCCTAGCATTA